ATTTATCTAGATGACGAAGGGCAAAGGTCACATGTTCTCTAGTAAGTAGAGTGCCAGAAACAGGTGATCAAATCACAGGGGGGCTAGACTGGCTGACTCACTGGAGATTAGTTTCTGCTGCCAGATACTACAGGAAGACACTTTTTAAAACTCAAGCAAAAAGGAAGGAACCTTTCTCCTTTTGAGCAAAATGAGTTCAAAATAATGTAATATTGGGGCTAGAACAAACTTTGTTGTGAGGTGAAAGTCAAACTCCATGGGAAAATGTAGATAATGTGGGTAAAATGTGAAAAACTTCAACTTAATATAAAATGACTGCATCATTATTTTCCTTTAAACACAGAAATATATGAATAACTAACCAAATACCAGAGATTGCGGACCTCCAACAAGGTCATACCCTATCTTCCAAAAGTAATCAGTGCATCGGCCCAGTGGACCAGATCCACTCCAAAATGTAGTGGGTCCTTCATTGGCCTATGCTACAAACTTCCACCAAGTGTCATGGAAATTGTGCATTGAGATTTCCCATAATCCTGCTGACCAATAGGAAAACAAACCAACAAATCGAAAACCCGTCAACAAACCTCTTTGGCGAAGGAATCAACAGAGCAGCTAAAATAAGAAAGAACAAGATAGGAGGAACTAGAAAACAAAACGATAGCCATCCTGGTGATTCATTAGTACATACTGTAGGGACATAACTTAGCGCAGTCATGGTAACAACCCCCCCCCTTCCACCATCCTTCCCACTGTGCCACACAAAGAGCTGGCTGTACCAGAGCTCGTGCTGAGGAAGTGTGTTGTTTTGTGTTCAGCGGACCCTCAGCCGGTTGGTATCATTGTGGCAGAGCGGCATGAAGGGGTTTGCTCGGGGTCTAAATTTAGTCCTAGTCCAGAGTCCATGGGCCAGAGCTGCAGCGAGCCGGGGAGCGACTGTCGGGCGCCAGGATATCCCTGCTCAGGACGAGGAAATGTCTGTGACTACCTGTTATGCAAACCCCCGAGCTGGAGAAGGAAAAAGAGGGGAGGGGGCATGCACGGGAAAGACAGTTTCGACAGGGACTGTGTGTTTGTGTGCGCACTGGCAGGAGGGATTCTGTGCATGCAGGTCTTTGTGTGTGTGTGTTGGTCGAGAATTGTCCAACAGCAGGGTGGGAATTGACTCTGTCTAGATAAGCTTTTTTGTCTCTGTTTACTAAATGTCCAAAAGCAGCAACAAATAAAGAATCTCCTCTCCATCGTGAGCGTCTTCGGCGGACATTGTCTCAGGGAGGAGGGCTTTTATCTGAAGACCTTGGCAGAGGATTGAGACCCACCCAACATTACAGTATTTTCCAATATTAGACAACAGCACCAGCCAAACATCAGTCACCAGGAACTCATCTCACCAAAGCATCATTAACACAGACAATGGCAAAAATAAACATAAATCATTAACACCAACATGGGTGGTGGACATTAATGGCTCTTTTGATCATACGGCCAGAATCATGACCTCATCATAAGATCACACATGTTTGCATTCGTGACAAATCTAAACGTTAATAAACAGTACCACACCTATTTCCCTGACGTCTAAAAATCGTGATGCTCTGGCACCTTCAAATGATCTTGACTGATCTGTAAAGCCGAGCTTTTCCACAGAGAATGCCAAAAGCACCACTTTATGTGATGTGTTTATTATTTCTTGGCAATAAGTGATTCAGTTTTAACAAATAAGACCAAACGACTAAAGAAATCAAAGGAGACTTCTTCATTTGAAGAGGTCAACCATCAGACTGGCATTGCCATTAGACAACAGACACCAGCAGCATGGCTAATACCAATGCTAGCTTCTCAAATCTGCTGTTTCCTTTGTCCCATAGCCTTTCTTTGTATTTGCCTGAAAGTATAGACTGAATAGTTTGGGGTTTTAGACTGTTGCTCAGACAAACAGGCAATTAGTTTTCTTAAAAAAGAAAGGAATATTTTGAAAAGTGAAGGCTTCAAAATACATTGATAAGGGCTTTCCTTCACTACATTTATTCAAGGACACCAATCGGTAATCCATTCCCTCTTCCTAATTTGGACTCCCCCACCGAGTCAGTGAATGGGCTTCAGCTCCGACTGAATGGAGATATTTTTACCCATCACTCCCTTTCTGAGGAATGTTTTCATTTTCAGACGTGCCAAAATGCTCAGCTATTGCAAGCAGGCTATGGAACAACAATATCCAATTCCATTAGTAGTAGTAGTAGTAGTAGTAGTAGTAGTAGTAGTAGTAGTAGTAGTAGTAGTAGTAGTAGTAGTAGAACCTTTATTTAGCCAGGAAAATCAATTAAGAACAAATTCTTATTCAGTGATATCTCAGCGTATTTGGCAGGTCTCGGCTGAAAGCTCAATATTGGGTTGTTTGAGCCCGGGAGGCGGCTCTGGAATGTGTTTTCTGAATGACCGAAGCTCTAACATGTCAAAATTCAACACTGCAGGTCATTTGGCACTTTATCGTTACTCTTGGTTTTTAAGGAATTCCAACTGTGGGAGTTTAATTTCCCATAAATACGTGGCTCAGGAGATTCCTGCTAACAATGGAGTGATAGTTTAAGCAAGACATTCAGGCAGGTTATTCACTCAATCAATGTTGTACCTTCTAAATAATTACACCTACTATCAGGAAGGAAAACAAACCAAGAAATGAATTTCCAAGACCAGGCCTTAAGATAAGACTGTGACAGATCAAGTCAAACTTCCAGCGAATATATCAACCTCCAAGCTTAGGGTGTGGAGAAGAGGGAAGGAAGGAAGGATGGAAAGGGGAAGAAGGGGAAGGAAGTTTGGGAGATAAGTCGGTGCCAAAAAAGAGTTTCACACAGCCCAGGCTGCCTGGAACCTGGACAGGAGATTATTCATGTTCTGGGATAAGGAGCCAGACTGGTTAAACATGAATAGATTGAGCAAACATTCGCGTACGCCCGGCAGTAGACACGCAATGATACACAGACACAATTATTCACATCCTCATTTAAAACAATGACAGTCAGCTCACGTTAGAGGTAGAGAAAGAAATACAAATACATTCCCCTCATGGTTCCTATTGACTGATTCAGGAAACTGACTGATTCATATCCTTAAGGACCAACATCCACATTTCCAGTGATTATTTTTAGTCCCTGTATTTATATCTCTGTGTATGGGGCAAGACATGTATCACTGTTGGACTATTTAATGGCTCCAGAACACATCCAAGGAATACTGAAGCATTGGTCTTTGTGGGCTTTTCATACACATCTCTAAAGAATGAGGAAAGGTGTGGAGACAGTGAATGGCTTTCCACTTGAGAGCACACTGCCGATAAACAAAGTATAGATCAAAGGAACAGCATGGAATCAAAGGCTTTTTACCTTCGCATGCAAACAGGAGTTCCTCATGGCGTGAGTCGCTGTTATTAAAGAAATCAGGAGATAACACGTCTCAAAGGCTTTTCCGCTCATATATTCACGCTCTGATATTTTTACGCTACTCAGAACTTTGATCTCCACATCTCAGAAGTTGTTCCTAGGAGGAAGCAGGTTTCTATATTCAAAGACCTCCCACAGAGCTCCCGCTGAACCGAGAATACAAGGCTAAGGGATGGAAATGTCTTTATGAACATGTGGAGTTTCTCAAAGAGTGACTGTACCTTTAAGAAGATACACTACGGGTACATCGGGTTTTAAAGAAAAGATTCATAGTTATCAACATGAGACTTCTCTAGTTTATTACAGATATTAAGACTGTTTGTTTTATGAAATTGTATTTCTTAATATGGAAATTAAGCTTGATTTCATGCTTACTTTAAGTGGAAATAGGTGAAATCCATAGCCACACATACAAGGGGAAGTAAGAAAGACACGTAATGTGTATCTAGGATGTTTTCTTATTACTAGTCTGAAAGAAATGTTATTGAAGCCAAACTCCCAATCTGTCCAAAACTAGTACATTAAAAAGTCTGATTTTCAGAGAGATATAAAACTAGAAATTATAATATCTTCTCCTTGCTCTGCCTGACTGAATGTGTGCTTGTGATTGGCTCAAAAGTAACCCAAGATTTGCCAAAAGTTAGGATAGGTTTCGCAAATCTATGTTGACCTTCGACAGGACCCATTTTCTTTCTCTGGGACCAGTTTTTAGCCACACAAGCAGCCGAACATTCAGAAATAACTTACTGGAATTTCCCATTCTTTTGACTTGTTTTTCTTCCAATGAGTGCTATTCCGCTGACTGAGGCCTATTCTCTTGGTCTTCCTTTTCAGGTTTCGTGCTGGTGATTGGACTCGTGACCTTCTACAGGATCGGGCCGTACACACACCTGTCGTACTCCTGCTACCTGGACATAGCCGCTTGCCTGCTGGCCACGTTGGCTGCGGCCATGCTCATCTGGAACATTTTACATCGCCGCGATGACTGCCTCGCTCCTCGAGTTATAATCATCAGTCGCTCACTGGCCTCGCCTTTCCACCCGCGCCTAGACAATGACTACGTGGAGTCGCCTTGTTGAAAAAAGAAGAGGATATAGAATACACCGACTAGACTGTGCTCACGTTTCACTACAGCTAGGAGACTCCAATGTCACTCTCAGGAGAAAAGGACTTTCCTGTGATTCGGCAACAGCTGGACTAACTTTTACCTGCACATTTTAAGCTCTATATTTCATTACTATCAGACATTTTTGCTGCTTGGTGCAACAAATTCATAGATATAACCCAAATGATTGCCCTAAAACTTCTAGGCATATTCAACACGGTCTGTTGTTTCATTTATTCGTGCTTGGGTGAGCTCATTTGTAGCTAAATATGGAATTTAGATAAGGACTGTGTTATATGAAACATCCTGCTTATGAAAAGATCAAGCTGGAACTTGACCTGTTGTGTTATATGTGCACTTAAATGGCTTCAAGCATACTTATTAATTGGAAAGTATGAAATATATTAGAAATGCAATAACAGAATACCTCATAATTGCTTTCATCCATTTTAGACTTATTTTACTATTAATTATATACAGTATGTTGCAAGTAGGTTAAGTAACAAGGTGAAAGCCAGAAGAATCTACAACATTTAAAAACAGCCAATGAGAGGTGATATTTTATTCCAATGAACACAGATCTGACTCTTCCTTAATGTCATTAACACATCAAATAAATAAATACAACTTTAAATAAATAGATATATGACCTGCCAATTAATGTATTTAAATTGGGTTGTTAAAGCAGTATTTCTTTTATTAATGTTATTAATGGTATGTTTGGGCAATGCATTTCGAAATGACGAAAGGATTCAAATACAATTTTCATTTCCATACGAAACTCTGCTTGCTTGTGGTACATATTGTGTAATTAAATTAATATAATATAGCTGTATAATGAAATAGTGTTGTCATTACTAGTATTATTATTATTGTGAGTATATTATATTTTGAAAATAACTATTTTGAAAATAACCCAAACATAGGGGCACACTTAAATAAGGTAAATATTATATAAATGGAATAAATGTATTATTACCAATATTCAAAGGAAGTGGTTGTTGTTTTTGTTGTTGTTGCTGCTGTTAAGGTGTCCAACACCACACCTGACAAATGGACAACACAGAACTTCAATTGTTTGACATTTGAAAATGACAGATATGACTTGCTTTTGTATAACTTTAAACTTCAGTAAGAGACTAAGATGTATGATCTTTTTTAGATTTAGGTTCACATACTAACTTACATACGGTATATTGTGTTAGGTGTATCATTTTAAATTGAAATTCTATTGTTTGCTTCAGGAAGCGGGAATAGTTTAAAGGGGCCCTCTGATGCTCATTCTCAGGATCACATTAGTATGTTGTGCCTCTACTGTGACATGTCTCCATGCTTTAATGTAGGGCTGCTCGATTATGGCAAAAATCATAATCTTGATTATTTGGGTCAATAATTGATATCACGATTATTAAAAACGATTATCCATTTACTTTGTTCACATTTCTTTTATAAATAAATGGATGTTTTCAGTGTGTTTTCAACAGTTGATTACCCTGAACTTTAAGTAGAATTCAACTGAAAAACCAATAAAAAAAAAAAAATACAATAATTAATATTATAATAAAAAAAGAATCGTTTTATTTCGATTACGTTGTTTTCGTAATCGTTGCAAGCCAAAATCGCAATTGCGATTAAAATACGATTAATTGAGCAGCCATACTTTAAATGTTCAAAAAGCAATTTATTTTTCTCACACTGCCTGTGCTGCAGCACCTCTTTTCACCCTCTGTCTAAAACCAGAGCTCAGTCTGCTCTGATTGGTTAGCTGGCCGGCTCTATTGTGATTAGTCACCCGCTTAGAGATCTCCCGCCCCTTAGCCCATAAAGTTCAATGTGTTGGAGCGCTAGCCAATAGAAGCGCGAGTGTTACATAGTGATATCACTATGTTATATAAACAAACAAAGGAGTCTAATGGAGGCGTTTCAGGTAGGGGGGGGGGTGTTGGAGATAACACAGTGATTTTAGCCCTAGCAGATCATTTACATTAACAACAACCTATACAACACCCTACAGGAAAGGGAAACCCACAGAAAGCATAATAGGGCCACTTTATCAAAGAACGAAGGACTAACAACCAAAAAGAAATGTTGTGAATGACATTCTTTCCTTTGATAAATGGCATACAGTGAGAGCATGGGGTTCACATGTACAGCGGGTTATGATGAATAACATCATCCATCAGTCTGAGCTTCACCTCTGAACACTTCCCTGAGGCAGAATGGGGGAGTTTTGCTTTTAAATAGCCAAAGCAGTGTCAAAAAGACAGTAAGGCTTGCACTCATTGTGGGCTGATAACCCTGCAGCATGTCACCTAGAGTCAAGGACAACATGAATGAGAGGAAGCAGCTCAGTCTGGACGGAATAAAGACATTCCAACCTGTATCTGCTGTGGGAGGCAAAGGGACTCTCATACTGTAAATATTTGCTTTGGATGAGGAGAATTGTCATAGCTTTTATACTTCAGGACATCCAGGGGTGAGGCTGAGCAAAGCACCAGATTAAATATGCTCTCCATATTAGAACCTGTATCAGTTCAAAGATCACGGAGTCCCAGAAGGTACAGGTTACTTTTGCAGGAAATACATATTCCTGTGGGTGGATATATGCGGGAATCAAACACAATGTCGAAAAAAAGCAGCAGTAAAAATAGCCATCAATGAGGAACTTAGTAAAGCTGTCATCATGCCTATTAAACTCTTTTGAATATCCAGTGAGCGGGATATGCTATGTTCCTATTTGTTTGTTTTAATGTGAAGTGCGAAAAGAACGCGACAGCAACATTTAGACCGAGTGTCCTGAATCACGTATTCTGCTAGAGATGATATCAGATCTCTGCTGGGATCACGTAAACGTTACCCCAACACACAAAAAAAAACACACACACACACACACACACACACACACACACACACACACACACACACACACACACACACACACACACACACACGTGCACATCCTTTTAGTGACCTGATTCAATGTTTGCGAGAATGGAAAGGGCACTCCTTTTGTACCAAACTGGTTGGGAGATCTAGTGTGTGTGTGTGTGTGTGTGTGTGTGTGTGTGTGTGTGTGTGTGTGTGTGTGTGTGTGTGTGTGT